CGAGGCACGGCAGCGGGAGGTCGAGCGAGGGCTAGGTGCTGGGTGCCAGTAGCACCCCAAGAATGGTTCGGGCCCGGCCACGAGAGACGGCAGAGTCTGGCCTGCAAAAATACTGGGAAGGCAGAAATCATGTGGCAATGTTTGCAACATTCATGGCTGCGAAGGGGAATACAGTTGACCACTTGCGTTCAGCATGGTTCAGCTTCACAAGGAAATGAATCAACCCCAGCTGGCGACTTTGCCGGGCCGCAATTGATTCAGGCGGCAGCGCTTGCCGCGGATTCCATCGTCCCTTGGAGGACCTTCCGGCTTCAGGTGACAGAGGGCTGCAGCGCGGCAGAGGGCATTCTGCAGGAGTTGGCTCGCGGGGAGCACTGGAGCCCAGGCTCGCAATTCGTTCCTAGGGGCTCCATGCGCCCGTATGGCTGGTTTCCTGTTCAACTGGATTCCTGCGTTGTCTTCGTAGTTGTCTCAGGAGAGGCTCTGAGCAGTGCCAGCTTGGTGTGGCTGCGGCCTGCCTTTGCAGGGCAGGGCCTTTGGAGGCAAGGGTGCCTTGGACATCACATAGGGCAGTTTGCCAAGCCTTGCCACCCGTCATGCGCTGGGTTTTTCGGGCCCTTAGAGCGTTCAGCAAGGTGTGTCTTCCCTATGGAGTCGCTGAGGTCTGCCTCCAGGGCATCTCCGTGCAGCGGATGCTGGGCAGCCGCTGGCCGCTGCTGAAGCTGTTGGGGGACCTGCAGCGGGGCGAGGAGGCCAGCTGCGACGGCCTGGCTCACCCCTCCCTGGACTGGGCCGAGTGGCGGCAGCAGGCACTTGGCTTCAACCGCCAAACCGCCCGATCTGCTTCGACAAACCCCGCGCGCCGCCTCGCGCCGCACGGGGCGCGCCGCGCGCTTTTGGCGTGAGATGAGGCCACGGCCTTCGCCCGCGACACGCCGCTGTGGCTGCAGGGCGACTTGGATGTGCCGGAGTCGTTGGACGCCGCACTTGGTGCCGCCCAAGGACCGGGGGGGGGGGGCGAGGGCCAACTCAAGCCTCGATTTCGCCTGGACTTCTGGTTGCCATCAGTGGCTACTGGATTTCGGGCCTTCCCAGGCTGAAGGCAGGCGAAGAGGGCGAAGCCGTGGCCTGTTTTGATTTTGATGGCCTGCGGCATTCAGCTCCCGCCAGCGGCTTGTCTCCTTACTGGGGCGCACGTTGCCCAGCCCAGCTTCGCGCGAAAGAGCAGATGCTCATGTAAGTCTGCGTGCACAAGCCTGAGTGTGCATCGTTTTGCATCTTTCTGCCCCCAGAATTGGCTCGACGATTTGCGACAGGGGCCAGGGTAAGTCCACATGACGACAAGTTGGCCATCTTTTTTTCCCTCTCCGATGGCTGATGCAATACTCACGTCAGTATTTGCTCCCAAGAGCCATTCACCCAACGACTTTTCAATAGGATCCAGGTGCCCTGTTGCTCCGTGCATTGCAGCTCTCTGCCCTCCCTGCCCTGGAGGAGTTGTATGGAAGTCTGCTTCTGGCGCTATTGCGCAAGGCGCGGGCCTTCGTAGTTGGTGGTCTGCTTGCCTGTCCGCCCACCTGCCTGCCCGCCCACCTGCCTGCCCGCTGGTCTGATTGCTTGCCTGATGGCCTGCCTGACCGGCCTGGCTGATTGATCGGGTCGATTGCAGGCCGAACCATTGCTGAGTGGACCTCCCTGTGCTCCTTGGGCATCCTGACGGCCAATGCTGTGCGGGCAGCATCCCTCGTTTTGGGTCAAAGCGACGTGCGCCCTGGCTTCAAACGATCAGAAAAGCTTCGCTGATGGGTAGTGTTTGTACCCTTTCCAGCTTATCGGATTGTGGATTGTGGCCAAGGTATCGCATCGTGCAACGCGCCCTGGAATCGGCAGAGAATATCATGCGATCCTTGGAGACTTTTGCGCACAAGCACCTTTTTGACTGTTTGGGCTGTTGGGAGAAAAGATGAGGACACCTTTTTCTTTGCTTCCGGGTTGCATGCACGTGTGCCATTGTTGCTGCCCGCCGTATTCAGGAGGCGGTGCTGCAATCGCCTTGGCCGATTTTTCAAGTTCTTCATGCAATGAGCTGCCTGGTGGCATGGGGCTTGAAAGGTAGGCGCATATCTTCGGGCAGAAGCGCAGGTATGGACAGCACGCATGCGCAGCAAGCTGCTCGCCTCATGAAAGATATTTTGACGAACAGACTGAGGCCTTATGAAGCGCAGCTTCCATGACATGCGCTTTGCTGCGGCAGACCTGGAGGCGGCTCTTGGAGGGCACCGGGAGAATTCCGCGTTCTTTTCTTGGGCATGGGGCCCAGCATTGCGGGAAAACCTGGCTGGAAACCACAAGACGCCTCATATTTAGCTCCTGATTCCGAACTCCCCACAAGAATCCAACTTCTACTTGGGGATGTTGGGAATTCCTTACAGTGAGTCTCGTCCTGGATGGCTGCAAGCTCAGTGCAAGTGTCATCCCGGGTAGATGATGGTCAGTAAGGGGCAAGCCAGAAATAGTCGCGGCCGCCTTCTTAATCCTTGAAGCATGGTTCTGGGTAGACCATGTGAATTCCGGGTTTTGATTGTGACTCAGCAGGCCTCCACGCCTCTCGAGCGGCGCTCGGCCACCTGGCACGCGGCGGCGTCGGCTCTGCGCACCGCAGCTGCGGCGGCCGAGGCGGAGCGGGGCGCCAGCGTGGTCATCATGACAGGCTGGGGACGCAGTTTGGGAACCCAACTGGGTATGGCAGGGCTCCTTAAAAGATCTCCAGTTTGCCCATTTGAACCATGGCTTTTTCCCACAAATAAAGGGAAACCGCCATCTACAAGGCAATGTTGAGGAGTATAATGTAAGGATCCCTGTATGGGTCAAAATTTAAGCACCAGGAATTGGACCGCAGGTTTGAGTCCTCCCATGTACCAGGGCAAGCCATTTTGGGGTTACCCCATTTTTGACCCACAGCCAACTGTCGGGGATGGGGGTGATGACCATGCGGCTGGACCGCATTGTGCTCCCCAAGACCATGTGGTGCAGGCCTTCCGCATCAGCGGCTATTCCACCTCTTGGACCTCTTCAAGCATGCAGATAGAACAGGATACCTGGCGCCCTTGGTCATCGTGCCTTCGTCTCTAGCGTGCACGCATGAAATTTCGAGCCTGGGCGATGCCACAGGCTTCTGGTAAGAGCTCGTGGAGCTTTGGAAAGAAATCCACCACCTCCGAGGGGCCATATTTGGAGGCCCCAAATTCTATCAGGACCCTTGCGGACCATTCCTCCGGAAGGTTCGCGCTGGACATAATGTTGACCCCATATTAATATATATATATATATATATAAATATCAACCCCTGTTTATGAAATTTGGGGGGCGTCTCTCTCTCTCTCTCTCTCTCTCTCTCTCTCCCTGGGTTTAGTGGCTGGAATCAGACCCCCTTCTTGGAGGCCCCCCCCCATGGGCTCTCCGAGATCAGGTGCCGCTCTACGAGAACGTCACGGAGTCCTGCGAGGCCATCGCGGAGCTCTTCGCGCAGCGCCGGCGCATGCCGCCCAGCTGGAGCCCCTGCCTGCCCTTCGTGTCGCAGCCGCCTGGCGCAAGCGCAGCGCAGATCTCGGGCGCAGTGATCTCGGTTTGGTGGTTTGGGTATGGGTCAACAAAAATGCCGCCAGGAATTGGACCGGAGGTTTTGGTCCATGTTTCCAGTTACCAGGGCAAGCCATTTTGATCGCCAGATATGGCGAAGGGAATAGCCAGCATGTGTGGAAGCCAACGTTTGGCAGAAGAAACATCAGGGCTGCTTAGATGGCTGCCGGCCACATGAATGCCCGGGGCGCATTTTTTTCACATGCCAGCAAGAGTTGGCAGACAGTCTAGAAGCGACCGCCAGAATGCCAATAGCTCTTCGCTGAGGTTCTTGCAGAGGGCGCAGTACCTCTACCTTCATGTGGCGCTGCAGCCGCTTGATCGGAGCATGTGTGATGTGCGTCGAGTGCATGAGTTTGGATGAGCCACCGCTCAATCCTTTTCGCCTCGGAGTTTCTCAAAATGCATGCCTGATATTAGGACACGAGTAACATCGCCTTCCAAAAATATCGGCCTTGAGGGCTGGTTGTCAGGTCGCCGTTGCGTTTGACCTCACTTGCTTTCGTTCACTGATCGCCTGAGGCTGGATCTACCAGTGCTGTGGTTCGACTTCCACCTGGTCCTCCTCCAGGACCCCTTCCTTTGGCTTCCTGACGCTCTCAAGGGGCGCCTCAGCCCGCCCTCCTACCGGGAGCCCTGCCAGCACTTCTGCGCGGAGTTCAAAGAGGCGGACCTCTACCTGGGCGACGAGTTCTACGCGCAGTTCTTGGTGAAATCCACCCTGATGCTGCTGAGGCCAGTCACATGGCCATGGGTCAAAATCCTATCCCCACTAAACTAGACAAAAATGGGTGGTGCACCTACCCCAAAATGGCACCCTTGGTTTTGACCCACAGCCACATGGGCGGATATGGGCGCATGACTTTGGGCGTGGTTGGTTGGCAAAGATCAATTCCCAAGATAACTTGCAACAAAATACAAT